TCCTGGTCACAGCCCTGTCACGTACTCAAGGTGTGGCGGCCAAAGGCCGGCTAATAACCGAGAGATACTTGTGTTAATGCCCCCGATAGGCAGCAAATGTGGCTCTGTGCTTTTCCCCATCCATATGCGTTGTGTCTTGGGATCAGAAAACACTTCAGTATCCCACTGGGAATATCTGAAGATACAGTTGGGTGGAATTCCACTGTCTTGACCTGCTGCTTCTGTGTTACTATGCCTTTGAAGCCAAGTCCTTTGATGCTCTAAATAACTTAATTTTTTGAAGTTTCTCCAGCCTCCTGGACAGACCTGTTCCCACCCTGCTGTTTGTCAGGAAGGTGCACTGATTATCCAGAGTCCACTGAAGAAAATATATTGCATTTAGTGCTTTTCACATGTATGAATCCTATCGTGGTAGGGAGTAAGGTACCAAATGTAAGACGTTACTGCCCAAGCTACAGGCCTATGGAATAAACCTCTCTCTCTCTTTTTTTTTTTCCTTTCCACTTGAGCCAAAGAATATTTAAGTGTTAGTTCATTATGGAACTGACAAAAACAAATAAAAAAATTGTCTGAGAGCCTTCAATCCCATTCAGAGCTCAAGGCCATCCTGAGAACAGGGAAGAGCATAGTTAAAGCCACTCCTCCCTACTTGGCCAGGTAAGCTTTTGAGGGGGGAAAAAAACAAAACCAAGAGGCAGAATACAGCCCTGGGTGATCCAAAGAGAGCCCCGTCAAAGCATGGGGCTTCTGTAAAATGGATCGTGTCCTGAGCCATGGCCCCATGGAGAGCAGGCATGGACCAGGCCACCCATGAGACTGGGCGGGAGGAGACCATGTAGGAGCCACCTGCAGCAGCCAGTGCCACCCACTTTGCTGAACAGTTCAGAAGTGTCAGGAGTCTGGTGTGTCTGCAGAATCAGTGGAGCTTCAAGTTTGTACAAATAGGGAGTCTGTAAATATCAACCACGTAAAAAAAACTACTTGGGGCATCTGGCATGCTCTTTTTTTTATCCCCCTTCCTTCTAAAGCCTCTTGCTGCACTTGCTGTGAGTGGGCAGCCTCTGCCCTGTGCGTGCAGTGTGGGACCTGGCCAGCCACATTGCTTGTCACACTGCAGCACACGGAGAGTTCCTGGACATTAGAAGTGCCCACAGCATTTATGTGTGTGTGTGTGTGTGTGTGTGTGTGTGTGTGTGTGGGTGTGTATATATATATATCTGTATATATATTTTTTT